TGTGAAAAGATAAAAGAAAAGAAACAATAAATTATGTTCTCAGTTACTAATTGGTACTTTGTTTCCAGATTCACATTCTTTCATTCAAATTTTCAGTCAGTTATTTTGTTATTTTACTTTTTATCCAAAAAGCTTATGAGGAGATAAACTATGAAATATTTATTAATTGTTCATCAAATAGTCTGCTAGAGAGAGTTGGCATAAATTAATTATTTTTAAGATAAAAAGCAATGAATGATAATCTTAGTAAAAATGCTAGCATGAGAATCAGTGCATAGTCTCTCACCAATTAAATCAAGCATGCCGCTAGGAAATTTTATCAGAACTGTAATTTTTATCGCATAAAAAATTAACCAAGGTGTCAAGAAACCCACGGAGAATTGATTCAGGTAAGTGACTGAATTAAGACAAAAAAAGGAACTTTGTGGCATTTTACCAGCTTTACTGGTAGCCTTGAAACCAACAGGCAGTAAAAATATTAAAAGCCGGTCTCTTACCAGAAAATGTAGGGGGCCAGAGAGACTTGGAGTTCCTTTGAAGTCTAGCCCCAGTACCAGAGAAGCAGCTCGGCCTACTTATCTGTTAAACCCCTGGAAAACCAGACTTCTAGAGCTTTCTTACTTGGCTGGACTCAGGATATGTCCACTGAGAACAGACTTTTCCCCTGGAGGCATTGTTTAAAATGACCAAAGTCAACTCTTTAGTCCTGATATGTAGTTAAAAGCTGGAGAAAATAATCTTAAAAGTTAAAAGAAAAGCAGGAGAATGGAGTGTCGATGGGGGGAATGATAGGAAAATTATAAGACTCTAGAAAGCCATGTCATTTGTAGAGTTGTGTATAAGATCAGAAAAAAACCTAGGAAATCCTGGTTCTTATCCCTGATTGGTTTTAGAGCTCTGTGTAAACAGAGAATAAGGCTAAGGGAAGTTTGTATAAAGCCTGGTGTCACACTACAGGCTTGTCTCGACCTGCAAGAGCCCCTCAGCAAATACTGGGACACTTGGTGGATTTAGATGTTTTGGAAGTCTCTGTCCATTAAGATCACAAAGCATAGAATTCACTGGAAACAAAAGATAGAACATGCATATTACGCATTTTTCTCTGAAGTCACTGAAGAAGCAACAAGTAAAGCAACAGCAATTTTAATGACATTAATAATAAACTCCAAATAAGGGAAAATAACTGCAATATATTATTTAAGCTTTTCAATTTTCAACAAAATTTAATAATAAAAAGAAACATGAAAATAAATAACAAAACATGACCATGCTTAAGAAAAAAAAATCCTCCACTAAAAAATATTCTTGGAGAAGCCTAGATATGAGATTCAATATATTAAGACTTTAAGCCAATTATTATAAACATGTTAAATGATACTTAAGGTCATATTTATAAAATAATATTCCATCAAATAGACAGTTTCAATAAAGAAATAGAATGCTTCACCCTAGTATCGCCAAACAGAGAAATGACTCTCTGGGGCCCGCGTTTCCTTACAGCAAAGCCAACTTTATTCTCTCATAGCAAGCTTGTATACCTAAGAGGGGCTACTGGGTATGTGCAGGGTCCAGGGTGCATGTAAAGTTCAATTTAGACAAAGACAAAGGGTGCACTTACTATGTGTCACATAGATTGATCAATCCTTAGCATAGGGTCATTTGTTAAAGACCAGGGAATGTGTCAGGGTTTATTAACTAAGATGTCTTAATTTTAATTACACACATACTTGGTGTTATTGATTAGGTTGTTTTTCACCTCTAGATCAAGGAAGTCAAGATGTTTTTTTCTTTGAATCAAGAGACTGTAAACTTTTATCCTGGCCAGTTCCCTTCTGCTGCTTATTGCAGTGTTCTGCATGACAGGGCTGTGTGAGACACTGTTTTCAGTGCATTGTCCCTTTTAGTGGCTTTTAAGAGGCTGTAGCCTACTTAAAAAGTTCAGGCCCAGCAACCTTGGTCTCCTACACTATCTGATGCTTATGCAGTTCAGTACATTTCTTCTCTATTGCTTATTAGATTATTCACTATTGAAGAAAAAGTGCAATATGAAAACCAAGGTGTTTCCATGTGCTCATGCTTGTTGCTTCTTAGTGACTCAGTAAAATGCCTGAAACCCAAGGTAGTAATTGCTAGCTGCTCTAACACCTAAACCGTGAACCTAGCAGTTTAGCATAGTAAAATCTATTCCTTGCTCATAGCACATTCCTGGCAATCAGTGGGCTCGAGTGGAGGAGTGTGGAGTGGATTCTGTCCTGCAGTTTCTTACAAATGGGGTTCTTCTTTGATGAGGTTCTGCCACCTAGAGCATAAGACTTCTATTCACTCTGCAGCCATCTGCCTGACAGAGGAGAAAACACATGCGATCAAAAGGAAGGGGACCCACTGTGTTATCAGTCACTTCTGACCACATTCCATCAGCCAGAATTTAATAAAAGGGTTCCACTCAATTCTAGCAATGGATGGAAGATACTAATTTAGCTCAATACTCTGGGGCAATGCTTATGATCAAAAGGAAGGTGACCCACTGTGTTATCAGTCACTTCTGACCACATTCTATCAGCCAGAATTTAATAAAAGGGTTCCACTCAATTCCAGCAATGGATGGAAGATACTAATTTAGCTCAATACTCTGGGGCAATGCTTACCATTGTCTCTGTCACAAAAAAGGAAAGAATCAGACACCAACTTGAGTAGCAGAAGACTGAGAATGAACTCTGGACAGTTCTCTCTTGTTTTTAACCTATGACCAGTCCTTACAAACTGCCAAGAACTAAAATCAAATATAATAACAAGAAAATGACATACAAAATGCCATAACCTCAACTTTGACAGCAACTTTCTTACACTCTTTTAAAATTAGCATAAATAAAATATTCATAAACTAACTTGCATTCACTATGTTTGGCTTGAAAAGTACAGATGCCAGAGTGTTTACATGTTTAATTTGTAAAACGTTCAATTATGGAAGAAATAATAAACAACAAAACACCAGGATGCTACCTTTAAAGAAAAGAAAAAACAAAAACAGAACATAGCCACATGGTTGAATTTTCTAGTTCCACAATAAATATGGTTTCATTAATCCTCCATGAACTTTAAATATTTTGAATGGAACGAAAACTTTTCAAGTTATGATAAGAGAAATTGCAATGGTGAATTACCAGCTATGGGCATGCAAGAAAGGAACATTTCACAATTCACATAGCCCCTGGCTAAAGTGTAATTATTCACAGCACACCGACCTATCTTTTAAAATATTCTGCCTGTGTTTCAGGTCTTTTAAACTGAGTCATCATTGGAGGGTAAATTCTGTAGTATCCTTTACAAAAGAGAAGCGTGCTTTCAGTTTGATTTTACTCACGCACACATTTGCACCCCTCTCTCAAGCATGAACGAGCCTGGCTGCTTCCAGGTGATTTATTGCAAAATCGCAGAAAGTCCTCTTAAGGATTCAGTGGTTTTCCTTAAAAACTTGGAAAGGGAAGTCTAAAGTCTCACAGGCTAGTTCGTTTCTATCCGGTCAGCCTCAGCTACAGCTACACGCCGCCCTGTAAAACGTATCTGTGGATCCAGATCCGTGTCTCAGACTCCACGGGACTTGGATTGGTCAGAAGGAAGCAGAGGAGGAGCCATTCAAAATAGTTTTGTTTTTTGTTTTTTTTTTTCCTCCTCCTACCATAAAAAAATCAGCAGCCGGCGCTCAAAGGAATGCTCCTGCTGCAAATTGGCACCTCTGAGAGGCTCCCAAGTGAGCAGGCTGAGGCAGCTACCAATGGCACAGCGGCTTCCAGGAAAATGACTTTGAAAAGACCAGAATGCCTACGCCTAAAGTTAGAGCAGCAGCCTCTAGAAGAAAAAGCAAATAGCAGACTCCTTTGACTGATAACTAGCATTCTGAAGCCTCAGCTTTGAAAGTGATGATGAGCAGAGACGTATCTAAAGGAAACTAACAGCTGGGTTTGGAGCTCTGCCGCTTGTGACTGCATTCACAGCAGCAGGTATGCAAACTGCAGTCTCCTAACTTCCACACAGATAAAGACTGGGAGAAAATCTCCAAGACTCCCTGAACAAGGCGGCTGAATCAGTTCTCAGGGGATTTGAATTCAGCTGCTGACTGAAGATGAATTCCACTCACCACCATGGGATGCACACCTCCCTCCACTTTTGGAACCGCAGCAGCTACGGGCTGCACAGCAATGCCAGCGAGTCCCTGGGAAAGGGCTACTCCGATGCAGGATGCTATGAGCAACTTTTTGTCTCCCCTGAGGTGTTTGTGACTCTGGGTGTCATAAGTCTGCTGGAGAACATTCTAGTGATTGTGGCAATAGCCAAGAACAAGAACCTGCACTCACCCATGTACTTTTTCATCTGTAGCCTGGCCGTGGCCGATATGCTGGTGAGCGTTTCGAATGGATCAGAAACCATCGTCATCACTCTGTTAAACAGCACAGATACGGACGCACAGAGCTTCACCGTGAATATTGATAATGTCATTGACTCAGTGATCTGTAGCTCCTTGCTTGCATCCATTTGCAGCCTGCTTTCCATTGCAGTGGACAGGTATTTTACTATCTTTTATGCCCTCCAGTACCATAACATTATGACTGTTAAACGGGTTGGGATCATCATAAGTTGCATCTGGGCGGCTTGCATAGTTTCAGGGATTCTGTTCATCATTTACTCCGACAGCAGTGTTGTCATTATCTGCCTCATCACCATGTTCTTCACCATGCTGGTTCTCATGGCCACTCTCTATGTCCACATGTTCCTGATGGCTAGGCTTCACATTAAGAGGATCGCTGTCCTGCCAGGCACTGGTACCATCCGCCAAGGTGCCAACATGAAGGGGGCAATTACCTTGACCATCCTGATAGGAGTGTTTGTTGTCTGCTGGGCCCCATTTTTCCTCCACTTAATATTCTACATCTCTTGTCCCCAGAATCCATACTGTGTGTGTTTCATGTCTCACTTTAACTTGTATCTCATCTTGATCATGTGCAATGCAATCATTGACCCTCTCATTTATGCACTCCGGAGTCAAGAACTGAGAAAAACCTTCAAAGAGATCATCTGTTGCTATCCCCTGGGAGGCCTCTGTGACTTGTCTAGCAGATATTAAATGGAGACAGAGGAGATATCATAAACCTGCAGAAGAGTTTTTCACTCTGGTACCATCTCAACAGTGTACTTTGGCAACTGCTGTCTCTTCTGTCTAGTGCTTTGGTTGAAAATATCTGTTGTAAAAATTTAAGCTTGTGACTTTTGATATGAAAAAAGTCTAAATTCATTATCTTTAATGTTGTGCTACTTTTTGGTTGTCAAATGCTAATCTGTATTCTATATTGTGGGTACTATGAATTTACAAAAAGAAAGACATCCTTATTAAAAGCTTAACATTGTCTCTTTTCTTGTTATTCATCAGATTTCAAAAGAGCATTGTTAAATGCATTCTCAAATGTTTTCATATATTACCCTGTACATCACTGAAATGTAGAAGTTTAATTCTAATATTAAGGCTAGATATTTAGAAGCTCGATGTTTAATCAGTACATAAGACTGCCCATCAGCGCGACTTGAAGTAACTCCATGAATGCTTATCCATCATCCTTCCTGCACAGAAATTCTGATGATGCTTCTCTTAAAAGAAAAACTGTTACTGAGAAAAAAGTGAGATTTGTGAGTCAGAGGCTGCATGCATTTCTCCAAGAAAGATTCATTTGCCCAAGCCAACAGTCCAACATTACACATCTGTGATTCAGTTTGAGGGGAGAAATGCATAGAGATTAAAGTGTCCTGGAAAATTTAAACTGCCCATGCCAAGCCAAGTTCTCAATGCCAAATGAACCCCAACCATAAGTGACCAAACAGAGTGAATGTTTTCTGCCCCTTTAATCAGGGGCCCATTTTCTCCAAAAATGTCCAGAAATTTGCCACTATACTGAGAGGTGCAGTGTTTGATCATATGCTTAATAATGAATTCTTACACATTTGACATGGAGGAAACTTGTTCCCTTATTGATTACTTTTGAGCTGAAGCATAAATGCTGAAGATGAAGCACTTTAAGTTTCTAAGTCAATTCCATATATTTGTAAATATCTAAATGTGGTATCCTGTGATGCTTCCACTTTATAAGAGGAAGACACCTAACTGGTCCTGGAGGAGGCCAAAAATAATCGGCCCTTCCTCAGTCACATGTTTGGAGACAGGATATTTGGTTTTTCTTCCAAAACAATCCCACATATTTTGACCACTGAATGATCAAATCTTTGCTTCCTAGTCTGTGTATACTTTAAAATAAAGAGAAAAAGGCTACAGTAGGCTGTGAATTAATAGCAAACACTCCTGTGAGTCAACTGGTAGCATTTCCAAATACTCATAAACAGGTGCTATGCTGTGGTATATCTGAATTAAAATCTCAATGCATTAGAAGCCTAAGAAATACTAATTGTGTTCATGTGAGAACATTACCTCAAAGTACAATGCCAAATCCAACTGTCACAAGGCACTATTCTCTGAGCCAAACTGCTCCCATCTTCGTTAAATCAGTTGTACTTACTTTTTAGAGTCTATATGATCAGCCTGGGGACTGTTAATACTCCATCCAAGGAGGGATTGGGGAGGGTCACTGGATCCTCACCTGAGCATCCAGCCACTCCTTCCAGTCATGTGTATTTAACTCTATCCTAATTGTACACGACCTTGATGTCTAGGGGAAGTGCTAGAATATTGAGGGTGTGGAGAATTTGGGAAGGGTCTTTCTATGTGTGGTTTGGGGGAAGCTACTATCAATGTTGGGTGAAGACTTTCCAGTGTGGCATCTTTGAAGTCACTGACACTGTTGTCGATCACACCTCACTCATGCCCTGAAATAAGTCTAATAAACTCACTGGTTCCCCAGGATGAACTTTAGTAGAATAGTACTTTGGTCTGTGGCAGGGACCTTGAGAGGAGGGGGTAGATTTTGTTCATATTGCCTTTATTGAAGTAATTTTCACAACACCAACATTAATCAAAAGTGGTACTGAAGCTGGGTTGTAAGAACACTCTAATGTTTCTAATTTTAAAACAAAAAAAAAGTGATGTTTTTATATACAGTCTAAGACAACCATCATATCCTGCTGAAGTTTAGATCTTAAATGTCTCTAAAGCTTCACGCAGTAAGGCCTTGTTCCCCAGGGTAGTGCTACTAGGAAGTGGTGGAGCCTTTAAGAGTTAGAACCCAGTGGGAAGCCTTCAGGTCATTAAAGGTGTGCTCTTTTTTATTTATTTATTTTTATTTTATGAAGATGAGTATTTTGCTTGCCTGTATGTGTGTCAGACATGCAATGCTTAAGAAGGCTAGAGCAGAGTGTTGGGTCCCCCAGAACTGGAATTACAGATGGTTGTTAGCTGCCATTTGGGTATTGAGAATCAAACCCACATCCTCTGGAAGAGCATTTAAGTGCTCTAAACTGCTAAGCCATCACTCCAGCCTTTAGGGATGTGTTCTTGAAGGGGATAGTGGGGCCTCAGTTCATTCCATTTCCTTTCTGAAGCTCCCTGAAGTCATGAGGTGAGTGATTTTTCCTCACTATAAGCTGGTTCTGTGGTGTGCTGCATCATCGTAGCCCCCAAACATTGTACCATCCAGTCTTGCACTGTAACCTCCAAAACTGACAGCCAAGTTGAACATTTTTCTTTTCCAAGAAACTCAGAGACCAGAGATAAAAGCATACTTAGGCTTATGTCTTACCTCTACAGCAGCTGTCTTCAAGATTACACCAGTTCTCTTTCAGGTTTCATATCAGATGTTCAAAAGAAAATCCTGGCTCCTTCTCTTTCCTGTTCACACCTTCTTTTGGAGAAGTCTGTAGTGTGTAAGTAGGTGCCCATGGTACAATGTGGGGCCTCAATGTATTTCCACAATCTGTCTCCTCCTCATTTGTAGTATGCTCTAAACCTTCTTGTAGGGTGTTTCTGCCCCTACCTCTATACAAATCTATGCTTTCCCAGAGGGATTGCCCTTACTCAAGCCACTTCTGACTACAAGCCTACACCCAATAATATTTGGAGCTCTAAGAGTTCTAATTGAGTTGGTATTGGCTGATTGGGGTGACCTTGTAGTTGAAATTCTAGGCTGAAGTAAATATATTCAGTGTTATAACAGAGGAGAGTATAGAATATGAGTTGAGTTGGATATTGGAGCAAAGAAACTTGAACTTTATAAAATGAAGACACCGTGGGGCATTGCCTGCTAGAGAAATTGCAGGAAGTACTTGCTCCAATTAGAGAACTTTAAAAGTAATAGGAAGATAATTGTGCTTCAAAGAATTGCAAGAATTTTTTTACTATGAGCGAAGCAGACTATTTCTGGTCCCTCAAGTCTACTTCTAATGAGAACACATTGGAACAAGACATCCAACTACAATATTTACATTACAGATTTGTTCCCACACCTTGGCCAGACCCATATTTCAGTCTCCCTTTCCCAGATGTTTTATTTCTGTGAACCCCACCTCCCATATTTATATGTAATCTCCTTTGGGAACATTGATCATATGCTCATATTTTATTCTCATAAGGCCTAGTATAGATATATCTGGTACATAGGAGAGATTAAAATATAATAAAATTTTAAATAAAATATGCTTGATTTCTGGAAATAGTTTCCTGGAGAGCTTCACCTGAGGATTCTCAATGCTACATCTATTAGCATTGGAAACAGACATTTTGTGCACTATCTGCTTAGTGCTATGCCCTTGCCTTATCGAATGGTCTTCAAAGCAGTATAAAAGGAGCCTGAAATTTGTTGACTAAGAAATTGGTTGAGAATAACTGAGTTATACACTGGAATGTGGTAAAAGTAATGTATAGCTATCCTTCAGAAAAGCCCATGATTAATAACTGTAAATATAAAATCACAGCTTAAGCAAATAATGTTGAAGTCTGTCAAATCAGATGATCCTGGTATTACTAGAAATGGCAAAAGAAATCATTAACTGTCTTTCCATATAAAATATTGATTCATCTGGTTATGGTGTTAGGCGTTAGAACTGTTTGAGTTTAAGGACACTATATGAATTAAACCTGTTACAAAAGAGAACCCTCCTTGCCCATGACACCAGAAATATATCATACTTGCTCCAACAAGTTATCACTTTATGTCTCAACGTCCTCTCCCCCATCATCAAGGAAAAGTGTGGTATACGATAAGGTCTACCCTACTGGGCTCAAAGCACCGTACCACCCTCCAGTTAACAGAATGAGTGCATGAGCATCCTGATTGAGAAGAAAAAAAAAATAGAAAAGAGAAAACTTGAAAAAAAAAAAAAACAATGCTTCTGTAAGAACAACCAGTGTTCTTAACCGCTGAGCCTACCTGAGCTAGAGAGATGGCTCCAGAGGTTAAGAGTATTCACTGGCTGTTCTCGTAGAGGACTGGGGTTCAGTTCCCAGCACAACATGGTGGCTAACAACCATCTGTAACTCCAGTTCCAGGAGATCAGATGCCACACACAAAATAAATATAAGTAAAATGTTTTTTAAAATAAACTTTAACAATTCCTATAACTTGCAGCCATAAACAAGGATTTTAAATATATATTAACATATTGTCTTGGTGGCTCCAGACTTTCTACAGATGGAGACCTACGATACAATGTGGTTCAAAGGAATCCCAAAAGACTGTCTTGAAGCCTCTTTGTATAGCTGTCAACTTTCTGTTGAAGTGTGTCTCCTTGAAATGTTTCTGGCTAGAGATTCAAAGGTGCAGTTAGCAAGCTTGGGCATCAGGCTGGATGCACCATGTTTCTGTTTGTGGAAAAGGGGAATGAAGGCTAAAGGAACACTGCAAACAGCTTTGTCTGTTTTATTATTATTTCATTAACTGAGTGCTATCCTAACACCTGTTTAAAACCTATAGACTATTTTGTCCTTTAGTATCTCTCCTATTAGTTTAAAAACATTAATATTATACATGTTATAAAGTGTTAATAAATGCCTCTCAACTGACTTTGTGTTTCTTATTTCTTTTGTGCTTTCTACTCAGTTTGTTCTGATATGATACCATAATGCAAAAAAAAAATGAAAATAAAACTAGACACAGAGTAGTTCAAAGGTTTAGAGAAGTAATAGCTTCAAAGAGATGAAGAAATAAAAGATAAGAAATGAGCCTATCGCTCTGCATTTCAC